CGAACTAGCTTCTATCTTTCTTTCGTTGGTGTTTGAAAAAACACGGCCAATGGCAAAGAAGCTTGTCAAGATGATCGGGTGCAGGTATGTTTGTTATCATATTTGTCGAAGGAATTACTGATTTCTCTTAGGCAAAACATCTCGAATCTCTGTCAGTCGATTTTCGTCTTCTTAACCGTGTACTGCGACAAAATTTTCAAACACTGACTAGAATCCTCTTCGATAGATTACGAGTTAGTTTCTTCATCGTTCACAAATAAAAATGTTGAAGGCCAAAGTCAACATCCAAGTCCTCAAGGTTGACAGGCGTCTTATAACTTTATTTAAACCTTTTTCCGAGGTAAAGAGATTTAGAGCTCCGAAATGAGCATTTTCTTTAAAAATGTTGGTCCGTATAGTAAGTTACGGACCGCAAATTGACCAATCGCATGGCGAAAACGGACTCAGTCATATGATAAGGTCTTGTATTGCTAGCAACTTGGATAATGGGTGGAGGGGGGATCACAAGCACAAGATCATGGGCAGGCCATTAATGTCAAAATACTGTACAGTGTCTCAAGTACTTTTGCAACTGGTTGTCTCATTTAAGGTTTACTTCAACAAGCGATTTCCACGTCTTAAATTCCCAAAGCGAAGACTATAGCGACATAAATAAATAGAATGGCACTTTCGGTTGCTTTTCCTAGCCGATACATCATTGTCATTCATAGCAAACTGCCCAAAAAAGCGCTTAAGAATATAGTGACTTTTAAATTTTGCCTCAGTTTTGTTGTAACGCATGCGCCATTATCTACCATGACATAGCTTAAAGTTTCGACGTTGTCATTAAACTCCGAGAAGCGCGAATGCATAATCACAGCATAATTTTCCTTTTCTTGGTATTTAGAGATACTATAGTTGCGAATAAAGCTGCCAAACCTTCATTTTCACCCTTGTATCTGTAACAAAATGACATTTGATATGCAGTGGCGTTATGTAATCGGTATACCGCGTGACTTATTTTTCAACATCGCTGTTAAACTAAAACCGTTCAGTTTTTTTTCATCTACCGTGACTACGGTGAAAATGAGATGGTTATTAAAGTCCGTTAGAGCTAGAGAGCAGAAAAAGTTGTGTGCTATGTTAATTTCTATTTTCTGACGGTCTACCATCAATCCACGGTCTACCATCATGCAACAGTAAGAAATATATTATATTTATCTCATATGATGGTAGACCGTGTAGACGTGTAGACCGTTGAAGCACGTAAATTCTTGACATTGCTGTGCTGGAAAATTGCTTTTCCTGGGGACAGTGTCTTCCTTTTTGCCAAGAAATAAATTCCGTTACCAAGTACAGGCTACAAAGCCACGTTATATGCAAGCTCTCGCGACTATGTTACTGAAATACGCGCGTGGATTTTCATGTTATCTGATGCCTACTCACACTCGGGCTTCAAAATCGAAACAAAGTTGTAAGACGTCCAAAGAGTAAACACAAATCCAAACTTGTGTTAAGTAAAGTAAAGTCGACAACACCTTTTTAGCGTAACTTTTCTTTCCTATAAATGACAGGCGATAAAAGAGGAACCATGTCCACGTACTTACCAGAAACAACAACAAAAAGATATCTCCTTGATCTAGCGGGGCATCTTACGTCACTTTCCTTTCATAAATAAACATCTTTCAACCGAGTTCGAAGAAAATATATTATTTTTCGCATCTTTGTAGCGTTTTACGACCAAAACCCCTTTTTGTTGCAGCTTACTTAAGATGGTGTGGCATCTTTTGCCAGGTGCTTCCTTTAAAAGCCCAACTTTCTTGCATATTACGACATAAACAAAAGGGCCAAAAACCGCCGTTTTTGTCTCGCCATTTTTAAACACCCAAACCTAGGAAAAATGAAATACTGTTTTTTATAACCACCTCCTTAGGTGCTAAGAGTGCACCGCGTTTTACCCCGTTTAATAATCGTGCACCACGGCTATAGGGGTATGAAGGACTCAGACAACCAGTTGCAAAAATGTTGAGACACTCCCACGAAAAAAAAGACCTTTCTTGCTTCAAATCGCTCCTGGTCACAGGTCTGTGAGATATAATACTGACCTCCCTCCTCTCTCCCATTCAAAGTTGTTCCTCCAGGTTCTGAGTATGGTCTTCGTAATGGCGTGACCGCATGCTTGACACGCCTAGTGACGCTAATAGTATGCATATTAGGTGTTGTTATTTTAGAACTTGCTAGGTTGTATCAGAACGTATGAAGTAACGGACGCGTGCAGTAGCTTTACGAATTGATTTTGAAACATATACGATGTAGCTCGACATTAAATTGGCGACGAGGTAAAAGTGGAATGGCGGTAAACATTGGATACAAACAATTTCCCGAATTCGACGTTCGGAATGACCCCGAAACGGTATACGCACGCTTCTCAAAATATGCTAAGCGGTTCAAGGACAAACACTTGAAAGCCTACAACATCACAGACAAGCACCAACAAAGATCATTATTTCTAGATTCGATAGGCGAAGCCACACTAGATATATTCGAACAGCTTGACGATACGGGAACGGATTTGGACGGAGCTATCACCGCACTACTGAACAAGTTCAAAGAATCGCAAAACCGGCTGTTCAATATACACAAATTTCGTTGCACTATACAGGGAAAAGATGAAACCTGGGACTCGTGTGGAGGGGGGATCACATGCACAAGATCATGGACAGGCCATTTACACCAAAATGCGGCACAGTGTCTCAAGTACTTTTGCAACTGGTTGTAGCTTTTGCTGCCTTTCTCAGATTTGATGAGCTTGCTAAGCTTGTTCGATCCGATGTTAAGATCGAAAAATGACATAAAAGTTATTTATTCAGTCTAGTAAAACTGATCAGTATAGGGATGGAGCTTGGATTGTTAGAGCTTCTTCTAGCAAAGCAACTTGTCCGGTTGCTATGATCAACCGTTATTTAGATAGAGCTTGGCTTTCCTGCGATAGCCCTTTGTTTTGCCAGCTTTCCAAAACTAAATGTAGTTATAAGCCTAGATCTAAAGGTTTAAGCTATTCACGGCTAAGAGAGTTAGTGCTAGAGGGCTTTAAATATATTCTACCTGCTATTTCTGCCATTGGTACGCATAGCCTTAGGAGTGGCGGGGCTACTGCTGCCACAAATGCTGGCGTACCAGACCGACTTTTTAAGCGTCATGGTCGCTGGGCTAGTGACTCGGCTAAGGACGGGTATGTCCAAGATTCTTTATCTTCTCGTTTGTTGGTTTCTAAGGCTTTAGGTATTTAGTCTTCTCGTTCGTACCGCTTTTAATTTATTCTAGTTTCTATTTAGTTGGTCTTGCCCAGGGGACCGTTGTTTATGGGGTACAGCTGGCCTGGGGTTTTCCTCGTAGGTGCAAGTAAACGTACGGGGAGGTTTTTCACCCAGCTGTTGTTCCACGACCCCATTTCAGTTAGATTGTGATTTATTTCTTTGAGCTGTAAGTTACTTGGATTGTATATTACTTTTCTATGATACGTCATGTAAAGACAACCCACTATGACAATCCGCGCTTCAAACTGACATACAGAGAGAATTATGGGAAGATAATTGTGAAAAAATTTTGTTTTTGTTTGTTTTTTTTGGGGGGGGGCGGTAATAGGTTAATAGCCAGTGAGAAACTCATCAAAGTCTATCTACTGTAGCCTATCTGGTACCGATTAAATTAATAAGAAGTAACTATGAAAAAAAAACAAAACAAAAACAAAAAACATATTCCACTACAAGACTCAGTCAGAAGGCATATAAGAGAGTTTTCCGGAAGGTATCATTAAGCCTTACGAAGGAACAAGTATCACGACTGGCAAAGTCTGCCTCGTGACAATATGTTACCGTATGTTGCCTCATTTTGGCTAAAAGGGTGAAACACCGATCTCGGGCGTAAGGCGGAAAGGCATCATATTGCGAGCTTTGATGTGGGCGGTGACGAGCCTCTGGCCTGAAAAGCAGTTTGTAGGAGTCACATGTATTCGGCGAGAGCAAATTGATGCAGATTAATTTTCTGACCACGCTAGGCCGGCCTCTATGTGTCCCTTTCAAAACGGCTTATCAACATCCTGGGTCTTGAATAAATCGACTGTGTCAGGAAAGTTTACATGTGACGATTTGTGTGGACTGAAACGAGAGTTATTGAGAGAGAATAATTTGCTCATATTTCGCCCGTATTAAGTGTGGAAAGTGCCTGGTTGGTTGTGGATAGATTCATCAGTGCCAGGAAAGTGGTTAATTGTTTGATTTCCTGAATCGAAGTTGTAGACAGACAGAATTTAGGTATGTCATGGTGCTCGTGTTACAATTAAGAATATTGCGTACAAGCATAAAAACGCTTCGTGAGTGTTTAGTTGACGTGATTTTGTCTTAGACAACCGTTTCTGGGTTCAAGGAAGGTGGATTCTAGGTGTGTTTTAGTCGGGCATATCGCTATGAGCCTCGTAGTTTGAGAGACTGAAAGGTCATAATTTCTGTGCTTTTAGATGTTGTTCATTTCATTTCATTTCTGTCGTTTTTGCCAGAGCGACTTTTCGTGTGTTAATTTATCCTTTTTAAGCCCTAGCTAGCGACTTTCAACTGCCTTTTATTCACCTCAAGGGTCAAATTGTTAAAACGCACTTGAAAGTTCTGTAGGTACCTTTTTATAAATCCGGACAGATATATAAATGCACTTTATGCACGTTAGTAAATCTTTCCTATAGGGAACATAGGGAGTTTTGTAAATCTTCAAAACGTTTATTTGAAGAAAAAGGGTCCACTAGGCGGTCGCTGACATGTAATATCACATAGTATGCAAAAAAAGCCAATCACTTCATCGCTAAATTTGTTCAATGCTTGCAGGTTTAGATTTATGCAAGATCTTATGGTAAAGATCTAATTAGGTAAGGATATAAAACATCAAATGGAAGAAAGGTCTATTAAGCAAGTGCTCTTACGTTCATAAGTTGCAGACTCTTTTCCTCTGAAGCAGCGTTCGGAACTTGCGCACTAGGGCTTTTCCAGTTTTATGCCGTTCTTGTCCTTCTGGCACCAATAACAACTAACTAACCCATCACACCAATGGGAACTGTTTCTCCTCTCACAATGGGGATCAAAGCATTTGTTAAGACAAATCGTTTTGGGATTTAAAGGATTATTGTTAGGTTGTCCTGAAGGTGCAAATGATGGGCACAGCCTTGTTCATAACTAAAAATCATTAACTGTTCCTGCGTAATTAACCTAAAATCTTGTGAGTTTGACAGCCTCTTCTGTTCCTAACTGAAATTCTTAGTGTTTGTTGCAGCTAATAGGCCCTTTACATGAGTTGACCACGTGATCAACTTTCGGTAAACGCGAAAACGGTTCGCTTTTGAACCATTTTAGTAGCACGAGCTCAAAGAGCATATTAAGCCATGTATGTCAAAAGTAGCAATTGCACTGCTGCCCGAAAATTAGGATTTGTATGAGAAAAAGAACTCTTGCCACCTAGTCACGTTTTAGTGGTTTTTCACTGACAAATCCTTGTAAATTCTAAAATTTATAAACTGTCCTTAAATCTTTCCCTTACGCATTTAAGGGCTGTTATGAATTGAAAGGAGATTTGAGCCCCGTAATTCTTAAGGAAATATTTCATGCAAGCGTGACTGCGTGGCAAAAGTTGTTTTTCTCTTACAAATGCTCATAACTTTCGGCGGGCGTTGCAATCGCTACTTTTGAGATATACGGCTGAAAATTCTCAGGTTACCTAATTTTAATATGCTCTTTCACTCTGTCCTGAGAAATACTTCAAAAATGAAGTGTTTTCGTGTATACCGAAAGTTGATCACGTGATCAACTCATGCAAAGGGCCTATTATAGGGAATTTTCCTACTTTAGTAGAAAGTTGCTCCTATTGGCCATATATAAGGGCAAATAATGTAAGAGACTATGTTGTTATATTGCTATATCGTGTTTTAGGTCAAATCTGTGCTGAAGTTATTACTAGTGCCTTTACCCATAAATAAAATGCTCCTGTAGAGTTTTGAAGAAGATATAAAACTGAATCAGGGAGCACTAGCCATAATTTTTTTCAGTGATTTTTGCACGCAAGGCATTTGGTCTTCAAAAGCTTAGCCCAACTTTTTCAAGTTTCAATCCCTGTCCATCCTTAATTCCCTCCTCAGCAACTGACAACAAGAAACAGTTTTAATGCCTAAATATTGTCCTAAATCACAAAACTGGACCATTATATTTAGAATTCAATTGATGAGAAGACACTTTTTAACTTTTCAAAGAGATAGCAAATAGTGCGACACAGCCCCTATTAGGTAATGTACCATATTTTACCAGTACTTTATTGGTTCGATGAAGGTTTAATATCGTAAAGATCTATTGGTTCCTTTTACAAATAGTGAATGATCACTATGTAAATGATGAACTTCATGATAATGATATGCGACCCCTAAAGCAAAAAAATTAACCAACATTCAAGTTTTTCGTTTGAATAACCGAAAAAGACCTTTCAGGAAACATCCGATTTTCAGTTCGCGTCTTTATGTTGTGGTTGGTGAATTTAGTTCCATTTTGATTGTTTCACTTCGTCGTAATTTTGATTGAAGAAAGCAAAGATTACAACCGTTGGTTAATTTTTTGACTCCAAGTCGCATGCTATTGAAAAGAGCTTTTAAAGCTGCATTTTGGCTTAATACAAAATGACTTTGGATTATGTTGACTAACCTGCTGTTTGGAAACTGACTTTGACAATAAAAAAATTCCAGAGCGGAGGTACGGGGACATTCACACTTCAAATCAGTCAATGTGGAGCATTCATTATCTGAAGAGCACGAGCAGGACGATATAACACAGAGGGAATCTCGCGCGACAACACCTGTACAGAGAGGGAAGCCAAGTTGACCTTACTTAACTACATATAAAGGGAACTATATCACGATGTGTTTTTTTTGGTTACTTAAATACCCTAAAGGCACCTTGGAATTAAAGAAAATTCTGAAGTAATAGTTCAATGGCTGAACCACTCTGCCACTCATACTTCAACTATAAAGTGCATATCTTTATCTTGAAACGGCCAAGATGGAAAGAGATCATTGCTTTGATAGAATCATTTGGTATCGGTCTTTAAAAATTTCATGTACGAGAAAAGATGAACAATAATACTTAAAGATATAATTTCAACTACTTTGACAAACAGTATGGCTCTCACCATGCATGACAAAGCCCTATCAAAGCCCGTTAAAATATCTAGGATATACATGTTTAGATGTTGTTGGATCCGTTTTTATGTCTAAAAGTTTTAAATCATCAAAGCTTAATCGAGTATAATTCTACAAGGTTTTGTAAAGGACGTAAACATAACTTGCATCCGGCACTATTTTGTTGAAAGATGGACCAAGAAAATGAGTCCTTTTAAGACTAGTCCGGTGTGATCAACCAACTTTTGGGGAAAAAGCGGAGCCCTTTATCATTTCTGCAGCTTAAGTGCCTACACTATCTTCTCTTATAATGTTTTAGCAAGCTTTTTGTAGATCCGAAGGTCACTTTTTCGTCTTTCTTCTTTTTTTTACCAAGTTTGATTAAGCGTCTATTCCGCTGCAGCGCATCCAAGCATGTCTTCTCATATAATGATGGTAATGAACGGCATTTTGAAAAGGTCGCTTGACGTTTTTAAATCTTACCCTTGTACAACTGTACTAAATTTTTCCTGAAATCTATCCTTTAAATTTGCTAAAGTAACCATAACTTTTAGTTGGAAGAGTTAAAGCAATTTATGCATGAGACAGTGAGGTGCTTTAATCATATCTTTGCTATATTTTACCTAAAAAACTGATCGAGCTTCGCACGAGCGCTGAATACTTGTTATAATTGACTCAGGTGCGTGAAATATTACCCCTCCCCCACCCCATTTCTTTTACAAATAGGTGCTACATTCCTATAACGAGCAATTGGCACAAAAATATTGTGTATTACTAAGAACATATCAGTTGTCTAACCCAAGTAGACGTTTGTTCCAGGTATTTGACTAAGCTCATATTTGCATCCCTGGTTTGACTGTAATGTACTGAATCCCTCCGGAGGCAAATGAAGTTCATAAAAGCTCTGCTCTCTTATACTTTCCACATTTCGACACCTCCTCTTTACTAAGTAGCCATGACTAATTAAATCAGTTGCGATGCTCTTTTCCTTTTGGGTGATGTGAACGTGCTCTACATCGATAGCTTCAGCTGAGGGCAACATGAAATCCGGGTGCATTACGAGGAAGCCAGACTGATCCATAATGAAACATGAGTACGGCTGTGATTCTGCGCACTTGGGATAAACCGTTGTAAGTAGCCTGAAAGATGTAATTAAAATGCCTTGAATTAACGGGAGGTGCAGTTGCTTAATAGTTTATTCCATGGACCCCAAATGCAGATTATGAGATGCGGATTTTCAGCCCTGCCGGGTCATTACGTTGTTTTCTTTGGCAACAGTTTTACTCTGACCGTGCCTCAATTTATCCATGTGTATAAATGGGTACCGGAGGTGAGACGCCTCCTTTCGTTATCTTCGCTTCAGGTGAGTTCCACTATTTTCTCCAGCACTATCAAAACAGCTGAGCTACCGCCCCCTTCGCTGTCCTCTTTTCTGTTCATATCAGTACAATTGATGTCAGTTTCTTTGATATCCGGAAAAATCTTTCAAAATTGGTCAACGCCATCTATAGCGCTGTTTGTGAAGAATCAGTCGGGGGATTTGAGCCAATCAGAAACTTAACGGAGAAAAATTTTGAATAAATGTTAAAAACCTGATTATATGAACAAAGGTCAGCAAAAGTATATTTCTGGGATTTCAGCACTGACATGTACAATGTAATACATATCAAAGTTTGAAACAAAAAGCTAGCCCCATGAAAGCAGTTTCACAAAGTATTCTACACTTACACCATCGTATACCTGTAAAAGTGTCTCAAAGGAAAATCAGTTCCCATTAATCCAAGAACATTATCACTAGACTCTCCGCGATACAAAGAACGAGCAGCGGTAATAACTTCCCCAGTTCCTCCCATATCCAGATACGGAGTTGTCAGAGTAAGGTAGCCTGAGTGACTTACCGCAGCGTGATACCTGCAGGGGAAAAAAATAATATCTCTCAAACTAGAAACGCGTGTTTTGCAAACCCTAACATCTTACGGGCCTGACCAAACTAGCGCGCGCTCGAACGATTATGCGTCAACATTACGCGGTTTTATTATTGTGTCCGTTTCTTGTAGACTCAGGCAGGATGTTCGGCCTGGTTTATAGTCCTTGGGAGCGGGTTACAACAAGTCACAACGGGTCCCAGTTCTCTCTTTTCGTTCTTCGTACAGAGACAGTACTTTCCTTAGTATCTTTGCTGTCCACAACAATGCTGTTTTCTGGATAACTTTCAACCACACGTTCACGCCGATTCGCTTCATGTCTCCTTAAAGTTGACTGATACTGCTCAAAGGGCCCTAATGACAACATGCACTACAATAACTTTTCGCATGCGCCAGACTTTTGCAATCTCATCTTTCAATAGTTGGTATTTCTCTAACTTCTGAAGTTCCTTACCTTTCACCCTGTCATCACCTGGGATGGCAAGATCAGTTATGATAACCACTCTCTCCTTCTTATCAATAAAGACAATGCCTGGTTTTCTTGCTTCAATTTTCACAGGGTGAAAAAAGGTGTTTCCGCAATTCGGAAATGTTGCGGAAACCCGATGGTTCAAAATTCCATTGCTTTTCCGCGCGACGGTTTCGACGGGAAACGTGTAGGATGAAAATGGAGGCATTGTTTCGTGTTTCCGCAGCGCTTCCGTTGACTTAAACGTGTCAGCTCGTTTCCATTGCGTTTTCGCAAGCGGTTTTGTTACTGAAATTTGCTGGTTTTCATGATCAAACCCAGGTTTCTCATATCATAAAATTTGTTTTAACTGTACTGATTACGCTTCAGGAAAGATGAGGAATCATTGACGTAATCATTGCATTGACCTAAAATATCCGAAAGAACAGAGATAATCGCCTGCTCTAACCTACACGTCGTAAATACTGGAAAAGTGATAGATGATTCTCTCTGTCTTCTTTTTTAAGAGATTCAAAGATGTATTATTAAAATTACTGGCGCTCCAAACATTGAAGCGTAATTGGAAACAATTTAGAAACAGCAAAATAAATTATAAATGATTTATTAACACGCTTGCACGCATTTAGCCTAGCTCTGGAGGCGTGTGTCTTACGAGCATGGGTGCCTCGTTTTCAGGTTGAATTTTGAATCGCGCGCCTTTTTGAACATTCTTCGCTGTCGGTTCGCCTTCCATTTTGGTGGTTTGTACATGCAGGACCGTTTTTTTGTGAAGATGAGCGAGGAGAGTGTGATAGATTGCGGAGATAGACTGCAGGGAGGAATAATAGTTCGAAAAACTATTTACATGAAACGCCAAATCCCATGGAAGCGGTGATGAAGGAGTTCAGTGTTCACTCTTGGCGACTCGAATGCACACTGAGTGTTTCAACAACCATTGAGAAGAAAGAACGCCGATTTTAAACTGTGGATCCTTGTTGTTTCGTAAGTACACTCTGAATATTGTTTAAATATATAGAAGCATATTTAAGTCTATGTAATAGCTTTGGGAGCATTTCATCGATGTCGATCATAAAAATCGTTTCACATGTGAGCTTCATGCGGCAGCGAGTTGCTTCCTACAGTACAGATCTGACCTTTGTATGTAGCCCGTAGTTTCTTTGAGAACATATGCCTGTAAAGCACGTCTTTCTCTGATTTCTTTTAAAATAAAGACATAGTTGCTGCTTCACCGAAAAAAAAATTTTCTGTATACTAATGCACATTTTAATGGCGAAGATGGCACCCGTAAAATATTGAAACTCGATTGAGGAAACGGAATCACGGAACGGGGTACGGAATCAAATAGCAAGGACAGAAAAACATTATTTAAATTCCTTAACACTGAAAGGTACAAAACATTTCCACCCCAATTTCTGCGACTGTAGATGTTTATCACAAGGATAACCCTGTACAAAAATAATATTTAATGTTCATATTAATTTTTTGCATACAATGTGCATTTCCTTACATTCCAATTTGTCATTAAACTTTGAACACAAGAATAACAACTTTATTCGATGACAAAGCAACCTTCATTGACACAAGTAAGACGAACATCTTTGAGTGGGAAGTCGCAATTCTATTTATCCATCTTTGAGTGGACAAAGTAGTGCTTGTGTCAATGATATTTCAAATGTTCCAACAGTCACCAGGAGATAAACAAGAAGATTTTTCAGGAATATAATTTCCTTACACTTCAATTTATCGTTAAAGGGGCTATGTCACCCAACACGCATGCGCGAGCCAATGAAAACAAACTTGAAAAAGACAGCCCAACTTTTTCAAGTTGTGTCGGAGATTTTGGAAGGCTGTTTTTATCTGTCTAAATCTCAGCCATCGTTCGATAGTTAGCGAAGTTTTGTATTAAGAATCATTCTATGGTGATTACAGAACAGTTTTTTGGCGTTATTTTAAAATTGTTTGCCTGTGGAATGTTTTTACGTGGATTTACTGTGTCCTCTTATCAGCGGCCGTTGTAATGGCAGAGTTAATGACGGCTACTCCACAATGAGTGATGGAATCTTTGATGGAATCTTCCCTATAGTTCACAGGGCCTTTCTATTGAGTTATTTTAGAGGCTGCTGGCTCTTGGATTTTTCTTGTGCTCAAAGTATGTGGACATATAATGAAGCGGCTATCGAGTTGGCGGCGGCCGTTTTTTGTAAACGATTACAAGAGCATCAGGCCATGAGTTTCGTGACGAAACTAAACTCCTGGCGAAGGAAACATTCTAAAATTCGGCTAGATTCCTTCTTGTATTTATCTCGATTCACGGCAAAGATAAACACGACCGTTTGCTCGTCCAGATTGTTCTCAACGGACTTAGAGAGGCACCTTAGTACGAGTTAGATCCTGTAAATGCCATGTTTTTGAACTGTTTGTGTTGGAGCATAATTTTGGAAAATAGCAGAGTTTGCTTTCCCTTTTTATCAACGGACTGCTTATAGTGGAGTAGTATACCAATGATGCTGGGTTCTGTTTTTCTCGACGTCGCAGTGATTCGGCACGATCGAACAATTTTGCGCGATAATGTATGTTTCCCTAAGATCAAAGCAAAGACTTGGTCTCTTGTTCTATCAGCATCCAAATTATAAAATCAATAGCGACAGACAAGTCTAATTGTTAATGATTTGAAACAGTCTTGGTCTTTATCTTCGGTCTAGCGTCTTTTGTAGCTCGTTTGTAAAATACAACTTCCATTTATTTTGTTGAATAAGACAATATGTTGTTGTTGAATTTTTGCTTGCGCTCTATTTTATGAATGGCATGCGTTTTTACTTCAAAACTACAAGTAAAATTGTCGTCGCAATTTTATTCTTGATCTAGCATAACCAGAGAAGAAACGTTCCATAAATTCTATCGAAATATCCCTTATCTAAACCCATTTCGCTAAACCTCTCTAAATTCGGAACCTTGGACGTGACGGAGAACATGAAGAAAGTCACGCGTTAAAAACAATAGAATTTTGACAGTTGAAAGTAATTTGCATAACCTCACAGCGCACATGGAGAAAGTCACGCGTTAAAAACAATAGAATTTTGACAGTTGAAAGTAATTTGCATAACCTCAGAGCGCATGCTCTCCAGCTGACATAGCCCCTTTAAGCTTCGAACACAAGGATAGCAGCTTTATTCGATGACAAAGCAACCTTCATTGACACAAGTAAGACGCCCATCTTTGAGTGGGAAGTCGCAATTCTATTTATCCATCTTTGGGTGGACAAAGTAGTGCTTGTGTCAATGATATTTCAAATGTTGCAACAGTCACCAGCAAATAAACAAGAATATTAGTCAGGAATATAATTCCCGTACACTTCAATTTGTCATTAAACTTTGAACACAAGAATAACAGCTTTATTCGATGACAAAGCAACCTTCATTGACACAAGTAAGACGCCCATCTTTGAGTGGGAAGTCGCAATTCTATTTATCCATCTTTGAGTGGACAAAGTAGCGCTTGTGTCAATGATATTTCAAATGTTGCAACAGTCACCAGGAGATAAACAAGAATATTATTCAGGAATGTAATGCGCGTTCACTTCAATTTGTGGTTAAGCTTCGAACACAAGGATAACAGCTTTATTTGATGACAAAGCAACCTTCATTGACACAAGTAAGACACCCATCTTTGAGTGGGAAGTCGCAATTCTATTTATCCATCTTTGAGTGGACAAAGTAGTGCTTGTGTCAATGATACTTCAAATGTTGCAACAGTCACCGGGAGACAAACAAGAATATTAGTCAAGAATATAATTTCCTTACACTTCAATTTGTCGTTAAGCTTAGAGCACAAGGATAGCAGGTTTATTCGATGACAAAGTAACCTTCATTGACACAAGTAAGACGCCCATCTTTGAGTGGGAAGTCGCAATTTTTTTTATCCATCTTTGAATGGACAAAGTAGTGCTTGTGTCAATGATACTTCAAATGTTGCAACAGTCACCAGGAGATAAACAAGAATATTAGTCAAGAATATAATTTCCTTACACTTCAATTTGTCGTTAAGCTTCGAACACAAGGATAACAACTTTATTCGATGACAAGGCAACCTTCATTGACACAAGTAAGACGCCCATCTTTGAGTGGGAAGTCGCAATTCTATTTATCCATCTTTGAGTGGACCAAGTAGTGCTTGTGTCAATGATATTTCAAAATATGTTGCAACAGTCACCAGGAGATAAACAAGAATATTTTTAAGAAATATAATTTCCCTACACTTCAATTTGTTCTTAAGTTTCGAACACAGGGATATATCTAACAGCTTTATTCGATGACAAAGCAACCTTCATTGACACAAGTAAGACGCCCATCTTTGAGTGGGAAGTCGCAATTCTATTTATCCATCTTTGAGTGGACAAAGTAGTGCTTGTGTCAATGATATTTCAAATGTTGCAACAGTCACCAGGAGATAAACAAGAATATTAGTCAGGAATATAATTTCTTTACACCTCAATTTGTTGTTAAGCTTCGAAAACAAGGATAACAGCTTTATTTGATGACAAAGCAACCTTCATTGACTCAAGAAAGATGCCCATCTTTGAGTGGGAAGTTGCAATTATTCTATTTATCCTTCTTTGAGTGGACAAAATGGTGCTTGTGTTAATGATACTTTCAATTTTTACAAATGCCATAAGGAGATCAGCTTGACGATTACAGAGTGTTTTTATATTGTTACACTTTAATTTTGTTTTGTGCCTCAAGCACTTGGATAATGGCTTTATTCGATGATAAAAGCAACCTTCATTTTTTAAATATTTTTTGTTGTAATGCACTACCAGAAAACTGCCTCATTTTAAGCTCTCTAGTTTTTTTAGAACCAGGCTGTTACAATACAGTCATGTAATACGTGTAGTATTATTTTGATATAAATATTTGACATTGTTTTTGGTCTTTATTTCTTTGAGGTATACTGATGCGGAGAACAAAAACATTGAGGGTATTTTGGTTAATGAAGTCAGGGGAAATTTTGGGTAAAAGAAATGGCCCAAAACAGAGAAAAAAGGTAAGTTGTACACTTTTCTAAGTTTCTTGTATTTGGTACAGTGAAACCCCACCTTACGGCCACCTCGGTAATACAGTCACCTTGTTATTACAGCCACTTTTTTTTGGCCACCTGGCAAAAACCACCATTCATTTTCTTGTAAACAAACCCTCAAAAATACCATCACCCATTAATACGGCAAAACTTTTTTGGCCCATTGATGACCATGTTAACAGGGTTCCACTGTAGTTTCTTCGTGTTGCCGACAAGTGAAATCCCCTAATGACATAAATACAAAAGATTGAAAAGCCACTTAATAATACCCACACCAAAAACAAGAGCAAACCAACAATACTTTTAGCAACACCAAGAAGCACTCTTAATTCCTTTTCTACAGACCTGCAAATTTAACATGCTTTCCTTTTGCTAGGGGCCATTTTTCAGTACTGGAGTAAGAGAAGTACCCGCGCAGACCTAGTAAGGCGGTAAAATGGAAAACTTGAAGAACACAGAGTTCAGACAAGATTCCAATTTGAGAGCTAAAAAGGTAGGTAAAATACATGTACATTATTTTGTTAATGCTTGCAGTGCAAATATTTCTACTGTGTAGTTTAAGTCATCCACTTGGTGATTTACTTAGCCTGTCCTGTAACAGAGCTGTGCTTATGGCAGTGCCTGTTGGCCCCTGTTGCATTACTGTTGCTCTTGGGAGACAAGGAAGTCTTAGTTTGTTCAAACACATTCATCCTGGGTACCTGGATCTTTCAGGTTAAGGGCACAAGGCTCTTTCATTTTTTAACAACACAACACATGTTTTGCATGTTTGTCTTATGCATACATAATTTATGATTGTTATAGAATGCACGAGTGCCACACCCTACCCCCTTTGACATTTTTAATGTTAACAGTGTCCTTTCCATTTATATGCAAGGTTTGATTGTAGTGTAAATTGCTCAGAGTGGAGAGCAAGAACCAAATCTAACGATTCAAAATAGTTAGGGTGACTATTTTGCCAGACTAAACTGTTGCTGAAGAACAAGGTAAATGTTAATTAAATCTTTCTCACAGTAGTCATGCCACTGTTACTAAATAAGTTTTTTTGGTGTTCAGGAATTGACGAATCGCACAGACATGTTGGACAAGGCACAGCTTTCTCTGGATGACAAAGCCAAAATAAAGGCTTTATTAGACCTACACAATGCTATCCAATTTATGTCTTTGGAGGAGAGTGAAGACAATGAAGAGAGGGCCAGTGATCCAGCACCCCGTACATCAGGCCACTATGCTCAGAGAGGTCAAAGCTAAGAAACATCAATACTGTTCTTGACACCTTTTGTGAGGCTCGCATGTTAAAGAGGCAAAGAAAAAACAGCCGGGAAAATAACCAGAGAGGTTGATAAATACTTGTCAGACAGACCAGTACCAAATAACTGCCCTTCATGGGCAGGATGCCAATAAAACCAAAGTAACAAATTGCTGCGGTGATCGCTACTATGGCAACTGGGAGTAAAAAGTCCAAAAATGACGCCGTGCGCATGATGTCCAGAAAAATAATGACCTTTAGCCGAAGCACAAAATGTGATGGCATAGTCGCTTCTACATGAGTATAAAATTCTACTTTTCCCCTATTTTTCACTGGTTTAAAACATATCATTTTTTTTTCTCTTAATCAAGAAAGTATTTGACACTTCTAGTTCCTTGGGTAGTAATTCAGTCTTCCCTGCGTTTTACTAACAACGAAACCAAATAAGCCAAATGCCCTGTAGTGACTTTTGGGTGCCACTTGCATAAAGTTGAAAGTGACATACTCTCTTCAGGACTGCAACCACGACTACCATAGTAGAGGTCACTGTAGCAATCGGCTTAAAGTCCCTAATAGATTAATGTGCCTTCTTCAGTCAGGATGATCCTGTGATGATCAACTCTAACTAAATTGCACAATCTTATTGGAAAGGAGATAAGAGTTTTATTCTAAAAGACAATCTTTACTCGACTGTGTTCATTAATTGCTGAAATTACAGGACAGTCAATGAATACTATAAAACAGGGAGTGTAAGATAAATGCATTGTGTAAGTGAGTCGCTTGTTAAAAGTGTCCAGTTTGTCATTATTATTCAAACTCAAATGTAGGCAAATTCTCGTAGACTACTTTGTATGCCACTTGTAGCCATGCACTTACAACAGAGTGGCGACAAAAAGTGAGATACATGTGTAGAGATGTTAGCTTATACATTTGTATATAAAGCCAATGGCTAGTTTTGTTTGCATCCTATCGTCTTTGCAGCATCAGTCTGATACTCCCCAATAATGGCCTCTCATCAGTTTGTATAGGCTTTAACAATAATTTTTGGGGATGATCCACCAAGTACTGGTACTTGCTAATAAGAATTAAGGCAGCAGTTTAGATTTCCTAATGGGATTTTCTGCAGTCTTACATGTAACTAAGTAAGACTTTATTTGTAATATTGTTCTTATTAAATTATGCAACAATTTTGTCGTGAACTACTTCTTGGAGTTATTTTGGAATGGAAATGCACGTTACTTATAATAACGTCAAACCTCTTTAATACGGACACTAAGGGGACAGAACCAAGTGTCCCCTTTACAGAGGTGTCTATATTATAGAGGTAGGGATTGCATGATTTTTGGCTTTACTGGGACCAAACGAACTGTCCGTCGTATAGAAGTGTCCATAAGAAGAGGTTAGACTGTATAATTATTATGTTAATCTAATCATTTCAAGGAAAAAATTTTGAATTTGGTCAATTCTAAAAGGATTATTTAATAGGCCATTTTCGAGTTCCCCCGGGCCTCTGTTTCATGTTTCAAAACGAGGTTAAGTGCTCAGCCTTTGATATGGAAATCATTTTTCATTCTCATGCAAATAAACCTCATTTTCACAAGAAAGGTTGCGCACCTCGCCTCATTTTGGTAGTGGTGGTTTTTGGAACTCGGAAGTGGCCTATTGAAATGGAAAAGTTACAGTTTTGGATATAGAAAATAGGAATACATTGTAAGGAGTCTCTTTTTATTGTGAAAATATTTAATATACGTATGTACATATTATATGAAAATGGAGAGAGAATTATTTTAATAAAAACTTTAATACCAAAAATGCACCTAAATATGACTCAGCTTGATTTGTGTGTATCAGCGAAAATGGGTCATTGTGGATGCATGAAACGGTCCAGTGTTGTCTCACAAACGTCCACTTTTTTATATACCGGATAGAATGAACATATGATTCAAAACTGGGTGGTTAAGTAGAGTTAATACATTTAGGAAATCCAGTGAATAATCCACCGAAAGTGAAATCTGTGGAAAGATGAAGGCTGCAGAAAGTAAACCGGTCAAACTGAGTTTCCGCATTCATTGTTCCGGAAACTCAACGGATAATTAAGTATCCTCTGAATTTACGAGCTGCGGAAACATGACGGCAGTTAACGTTTCCGCAAGAGTAAACCTGACGGAAACGCGAGTATAAGGGATGCGTTTAAGCGTCTCCGCAGAAACTGAAACATGACGTATACACGTGTTTCCCGCAACGGTTAGTTACAATTCCGTCTGCGGATATTCAGGTTTCAGTGAGGTAGCCGTTACAAAAACGGAAACGGAAACGCCTTTTTTCAACCTGTGTTTCCGATCACACTGGACTGTGGAATCCCACAGTATCTTGAAGTTTTCATGCACTTTCCACCACCCCCTCCGGCCTCTTTTCGTACCAGCTATTAGCTCTTTCCAATCCGCATTTACCGCAAAGTTGCCAGTGAATATACCCTGCCATGTTTTCATGCCTTCCTTTATATTCTGTCTGCGTCAGCTTACCGCACTCACCTACCACATCGGCCACCGTTTCTCCCTTACTTCCGCACATTCTGCACAAAGGGGATTCCGCTGTTTGATCAATATAAAATCTCGTATAATTTGTTCTCAAAGCTTGTTCCTGGGCGCTACATATCAGGGCCTCAGTACATCCTTTCAAACCTCCCTTTTGCAATCCACTGCCAAGTTCTATCCCAGTCAATACCTTCCTTTTCTCTCACATACTGCCCATGCAATCTTTTCTGCTTCCATTCATTCTCCGTCTCCTTTACTTCATCCACTTTGTACTCCTTTGGATCCACAGCCTCTGAGATGTTGACTACATTGCTATCTCCAACTTTCCTGAGTAATGCCTCTTCACTATTTCTCACATACCAACTCAAGTTGTTCTCTTCTCTCCTCACGCAGCTCTCACAACTGATCAAGCCTATTCCTCCCTTCTTTCTGGGTACGTATATTCTGGGAACATCACTTCTAGCGTGTAGCTCCTTATTCATTGTCTTGATTTTTGTAGATTTCCTATCTATTTCCTGAAGTTCCCCCTCATTCCATTTAATTGTTCCTGCTCCATACCTCATGAGCGACACAGCCCAAGTGTTTGCTGCTTTGATATTATTATCATTATTATTATTATTATTATTATTATTATTATTATTATTATTATTATTATTATTAACGGAGCTCCAAGCGCGCTTCGGAGCCCCATAGCTAAGTAAATCTACCCATCCCAGAAAATTTGGTAATAACGTGACCGTGCACCGACCGACAAGTAAGTATACACACTTACCAAGGCCTATTTCTGGGGTCATAGCTTTGTTGCTCCACAGCACCAGGAGTCACTCTAAAAACTCCATTGGCTGTTCCAACGTATCGCCAAACCAAGTATTCAGTAAGATCAGTTTTATTACGTAGCCATACCTTTTCCGCCTTCCAAGTAGCGATGACGGTGTCACGGATGTCTGGTCTTAACTTTTGATATTCACTCGAAGTCGTTTTTCCCATCATAAAATCATGAAGCTGCTTCACGTCAACTGTGGTTTCGTTCATGCCAATATATCTGTAAGGGTCCATAAATGCCATTGGGGCAAATTTTACAACGGTTGTATCTACGTGAACAAAATGAAGGGAACAATTTAACAAATCGACAATAATTCTACCTCACCATTACGTCACTCGGGGATCACGTGAGATTGCGCGACCTGTCAGCTGTTCTGAGAGTGCTGGCCTTTTTATACTCTTTCGAGCTTTCTCTTCTTGTCAGATATTCGCAAGGTGAACGACACCAGCTTGCATTATCACCTGCAATGTGTCATGTATAGTGGGCTGCGGTGAGTCAATCCTTGCTGACGACGACGAAATAATAATTCGCTTGTCGTATTCTGTTCACCATGCTTCTCCTTGGCTTTCTTTCGCCTTTAGGAGTTTCAGTCACTTTCCTGCCCCTGGGCTTTGTCACTTTTTGGTGGGAGTCATTCCCTTTCACGATTGGAAATTTTCCCTTTTTTGCTTCCAATTTCTGGCCCTAGAGACAAGACTTCAGGATTTCCCGCCAAGTCTCCTAAATCTATATGTACTATAACGTCGCTCGTGGTTCTAGTGATTTGACCAATACAGACCACGTGTGACTTAAAAACCTCCAAAACTTTGTTCCTCTCTTACGGTGTAGCGTCCGTTGGTGTGGTACTCTTCCAAATTTCTAACGCATGCAGAGAAAGTCAAATGAAACCTGCGATCGCTTTGCTGAGCAAGAACGCATTGAGCTGAGCTGGCAGGTCGCGCAATCTCACGTAATCCCCTTCTGACTCAATGGATTGGTGGAATTACAATCAAACGCCAACTTCCAAGTAAGTCTCGTTTAATTTTTTTAATTTCCCATGGTCTGTACTATTGAAGTTCAAACGTCGAACGTTATATGTACCGAACTTAATAGCTATTTGGGTCGACCCAAATGATAAAAACGTTCCAAGGTTGATTCATTTTCACGCTGTATATGTTTATCAGTGAAGATAAATGATAGTAATTTATGCATTAGGTTCGGCACTTGAAAAGTTCGACGTTTGAAACGAAATCGCTCCTCGGCCGAAATTCTCATGTGGGCCACTCGAACTGACTTAAATTGACTCAATCGTCGTGATCTTTTCGTGTACTTAATTGAAGGATTAGGTTCAGTGCATTAGAAGATCCGGTTTATTAACCGCAGTAATGACGTCGAATAGCTAAACTCCAGTGATCCCACAAGCCGCAGTCGGGTGGTTTCACTGCAGATATGTTTTGAACTCTATGACGTCATTTCTATGGTCGATAAGAGTATGGACCATAAAAATTGTCAATTTGTTTCTTCACATTGACAGGTTTTGACGTCCACTTTAGCTGAAGCTAAGTTTCATCTCTGAAAATATCGCACTCAAAAATGAAATTGCGCCACCATCATGTCATTTCCATGGCCGGTCTATACTCTAATCGACTGATTAGGTCTCGACCAATCAGCGCGGGAGAAGTATCTCAGTTATTGTCAGGAGCTCCTGTTATTGTAAAATAAATAAATAAATATAATAATAATAATTATTATTATTATTACCATTATTATTATTATTTTTATCATTATTAAATATTTCCTCAGCTGTTTTAATAGCGCAAAGGTTGACAATTTCACAACCCAGAAAATGAGCAGATTAAAACAACTCTTATGGATGAAACTGACCAGAAAATACTTATTTTTTGTGCAGATAAAATGTAAAAGGAGATGATGGTGACGTATAAATTAACGATTTCCGTTTGTCGTGGCAAAGATAAAAAAAATGATAAAAATGATAATGATGATGCACTTTTTAACTATCAATGCTAATAAATAAAGATGGATCACTATTTTTTTCTATCATTCCTATGATCATAGCCTCTTTATAAAAAAGACAGACATTTAAGCTACATAAATTCATGATCCAACGACGCGTTAGCTAACGGATCACTCTTCCAGCAGAGCCTTTCTTTCATGTTCCCTAGCTCTCTTGCTCGATTTTGGCGAACTCGAGGGAGAGTCTGCTTTAATCTTTATTGATCATGAGTTGCTCGTTGCTGGGATACAGTTTCAAACCCAGGCCTAATAGCCGTCCGCTTGATACAATAAGCTCAGTTAAAACAGTCGATTTTGTTCCTAAACGAATGCTCTCAGCCAAAAACCGGTTTGACGAGGGAAAATCAAGACTGAGTGGCCCAGAAGTTCAGGCTGCAGCTGCTTCAATCAAAGGCTTCACGCGATTCAGGCAGAGCCTCATTTTCTCCTCCTCACTCAAGAAGACAAAAGGAGGCTCTGCTGGCAGGGTGCTCACGGATCAAAGAAGGTACAAGGTATAAAGGAAATGTTGATTCAAACTCCCTACTTACAAGCTATATAACAGTACTCACCGCTAGTTACAGTCTTTCCAAAATGCAAGCAAGGATGTTGAGGTGGATCCAAGTCTATTCGATGATACTTGAAAGAATAATCTAAATCAATGGAGGCAAAAATAAGTTTATGACAATGAACCATTAGCACCAAGCGTCAAACCCCCCCCCCCCACACCACCACCACCACCACTACCACCACCACCCCATCACAACTAGCGATTAACTTACATCTGGCCTCTCCTTAGGCGACAATTAGGGAATTGAAGGACGATGATGACTTAAACTTGTTTAACTTGTTAACTCGCTTGTTAAACTGAAACCATCCTTACCTTTGGGAATTTGTGAAGTGTTTAACACCTCGTTTTCATGGGTAACAGGTATAACCACACCGATGGAAAAATCCGTCTTTTCCACTGGAGACCAAAAATAAGATGAATTAAGCTGCTTTACCAGCACTCCGTCTTCGATGTCACCTTCTCGAGATAAATACCGTGTGGCTACCAAAGTTGTTGATCCAGATTCACCCCTGTTTGTTTAAAACAGAGGAGTCACCAAAGTGCAAAAAGGTGTAAAGCAAACAAGCAAAGATCGTCACCATTTCATCTTCATTCACGTTCTTCATTCACCTCCATGTAAACAGGCCCTTATAGATTGAAAATCTTCCACACTACAACGGCAACTAATTAAGTATTAGAAAACTCTTTGAGGAAAGCTTAATTGAAATCAAAAGTATAGCTATATATTCAACTGAACCATCTTAAGACGCACAATCGCGAACGTGACAAGTGTAAAAATAAACTATGCTATTGAGCGCTTTACCGCCTTCAAACCTTGACGAGAAACCCCTTACCTTCTGGATAAGACGCTAGGCTTATGACGACAGGTTTCTGTCGCCCTATGGCAGAAAGTGATTTTTTTCTCCAAAACGTAGCTGTTCATGCATGTTAATTTGCCACTTTACAAATGAGAAGGAAACTTGAGCTAAAAAGAGCCCTGCAATTGTTTCTGGGATCGTTAATAAGGACGCAATAAGCCAATAGCCACTTCCGAGTTCCAAAAACCCTCACTTTCAAAATGAGGCCAAGTGCACAACCTTTCTTGTGAAAATGAGTTTTATTTGCATGAGAATGAAAAATAATTTCCATATCAAAGGCTGAGCACTTGACCTTGTTTTGATACAGAGGCCCGGGGGAACTTGGAAATAGCCTATTTTCTTGTAGCAATCCCAAAAATCTATGCACAATTAAATCGGTCTGTTTTCTTCTCGTTTCTTATGTGGCGAATGCTGAACAAAATTTCGTAACCGCTGCGTTAAAACCCAGAAACGTCGTTATATTATACACACTACGTCTGAGATTTGACAAAGAAGCTCAGTACCTCCGGAAGCGAATTACCTTTGCAAATCTGAAACGTAAATAACTGGTCTACATGTACTTTACCGTTATATCTCCAAAGGACACATTTCGAGGATAGCCATACCTTGTTGTATTTTGATTGGCAATGTCTGTAAGGATTTCAGGGTTAGGCGTGTCAATTCCAAACGTAAAAATTATGACTGAGTTGTTAAGCTCCAAGTTTCTGTCTCTTATCGTTTTGAAGATCAAACCTTTATCATCTGTTGGATCACTAGCCATGAGAAATAGAATAATCCTCCTCTTAGTTTTGTCAGATTCACCAACAGCAGAAGCTTTGAACAGATCAAAGGCCTTTTGCAATCCAACTCGATAAACAGATCCACCTGTGAAGAGTCATAAATCAATAAATAGAAAATAGTTTATTAGGCATTTCAAGGGCGGTACCGGTGGGTTGCTGAGTCCAAAAATGAATTTTATCGAGGTAGAGGTCTCATTAGCGGAGCTCAACGCGCGGCGCGAAGCGCCGCGCGCGGGCGGAGCCCCATAGCTAAGGAAATGTGGTAATCTACCCATCCGAGAAAATTTGGTAATCACGTGACCGTACACCAAGCGAGCGACCGTCCTTCCTTACCGCAGGCATACCGATGTAAAATAATTCAATCAACAGGTATGGCAACCCAAATGCAACTCATATAGCGGCCCGGACTTTTAGAAAGAAAAAACAACAACAAAGTCGTGTCTTTTCGGCTTTATTCTTTATGTTTACGCTAACATGGATAACAGAGAAGGAGCTCGAGCGAGTTATTGAAAACAAAGGAGACGAATTTCGTAGGAAGAAAAACATGAAAATTCAAAACGGCGGTGAGAGAATGAGAAATGCCAGAGGCCAGCAAGGTAAAGATGAGCGGCAGTGAAAAATAAAGGCGAACACATCTAAATCTAAATCTAAATATCGTTATGTCGGCAAAATCGTTTGGGACATCACGCCAACTCTAAGATGATAATAAATAAAACTATACTAGAATATACAAAACTATTAAAAACTATTAAAAAACTATTAAAAACTATTAAAAAACTACTGATAAAAAGAAAACTAAATTAGTTTGCTTTTAAAAATACAGAGGGATTGGCTGGAAACAGTTTCTTCTGGAAGTTTGTTCCATTCAGTTATTGTCCTGGGAAAAAAAAAAATCTAAAAATATCTTTATGTCCTTTCGGTACAATAAATTTAAAATCATGGCTTCCCCGGGTTCTCCTTTCTTTGCTTGTTATCAAATAATCCCCCCAGTCCCCATCTAGGAGGCCGTGGCACATCTTGTATATAGTGGAGAGCCTTGCGTGTCTTCTCATTGTTTCAAGTGTGTCCCACTGTAGGTCTTGCAGCATTTCCGTCACGCTCGTTGTTCGATCGTAATTTCCGGTGGCAAAGCGGGCTGCTTTCCGCTGTACCCTTTCTAGAGCGGCTTTATCTTTCTGGTAATGTGGGTCCCATGCGCTACAGGCATACTGGAGTTTTGGCCTCACAAGTGTCATATACACGGTTTCTTTCACTGACTTTGGACAATTCCACAGATTTCGCTTGATAAGTCCCAAGACCTTATTTGCCCTAGATGTGATTGTTTCAATGTGTGGTGACCACCTCATTTTGTTATCGAGCACTAACCCCAGATAAGGGTGAGATTCCACTTCTTCTAGGATTTGTCCAAAAAATACGTATTCCCGCTTTGGTGGATCTCTCCTGGTTGTAAAACACATGATCTTGCACTTTGAAGGATTAAATTCCATCTTCCACTTTTGTTGCCAATCTTCTAATCTATACAAGTCCTCTTGGAGATCGGCTGTGTCTTCATCACAACAAATTGTCCCATATAACAATGCATCATCAGCAAAAAGTCTAACAGTAGAGTTAAGACTATCAGGTAAATCATTTATATACATTAAGAACAGTATCGGTCCTAAGACTGTTCCTTGGGGAACACCAGATGTCGTAACTACAGGGGCAGATGATGCCCCCTCAATTACCACTGATTGGGTACGCTGTGTTAGAAACGATTCAAACCAGTTATGTAGTGGGCCACGAATTCCATAATAATCAAGTTTCTTCAAGAGTCGGCGATGGGGAACTTTGTCGAATGCTTTTGAAAAATCAAGGATTGCGGCGTGAATTGTTTTGTTAGACTGGATAGCACTTGCTATGTCATGAATGGTACATATGAGCTGTGTTTCTGTTGATCGTTTCGCTCTAAAGCCATGTTGACAATCAGTGAGCACTCCATATCGTGAAAGATGCTTCATAACATGGCTGTGTACAATATGCTCGAGTACCTTTGATGCAATGCAGGTAAGTGACACGGGCCTATAATTTGAAGGATCCGATTTCTTTCCTTTCTTGTGAATAGCGCATACGTTGGCATGTTTCCATTGGATAGGCACAGTTCCGGTATCAATACAATCTTGATATATATCAGTAAGAACAATCCTCCATAAAAATAATGTGTAACTAGGAAGTTTGACGTTTTAGTCGTACAAAACAGCGTTGGCGTGCAAAACAACGGCAAGGGAAAGACAAAAAAGCGTGCTGCCCGTGCAAATTTGTATTTGCTAATTAGAAGAAAACGTGTGCTGCACGTGCAATTTGTTTTTTGGCTAATTAGATTTATTAGCCATTTTCATTGTCGTCCTCGTTTAGCATTTCACGATTTAATTTTTTTTGCTTACACGTATTATTAACCAGAGCTTCGCTTTTAGCCCTGGCTAAATCTATATATTAGGAATTAAAGTAAAAATTCGATCCCAGTAGGGATAAATAAGGTCCATAATGTAGAGTGCTCGAGGCGTGTCAGTGGTGGGTGACGTGAGTATATACATAACTTGAGGAAGAGCATGGACGAACCATTTGCTAATGTAGCTGATGCAACCAGTTTGTAATTGTAATTAACTTCGTTTACAGTTTGGGCTTGTGGAGTTTGTAACAATAAGACATTCCTGTCGAAGAGTAACTAAACAGACTAGGTTAACAATTCATTTTAAAAACGAAAGTACTCGACACAGTAGTCTCTAAAGATGGGTTACGTTTATATAATTTTTTCGAGCGAATGTAAATTATAAGTTCTTTCTTGATAGTTGCTCTTCTTCGAAACTCGTTGATCGCTTATTACTATTACAATTTTTTTAGTTTTATTTTCTGTAGTGGGGGCTTCTGCATAAAAGACAAATAGCCATCATAAGCCTCACAATTATCAATTCCTTATTCCATTGCCATTTGCCCTTGCGTGCAAAAGTTCGAAAGAAAAAATCTCTAAGCGCAGAGGAAAACCCCCCAAAAGTCGAGTTACTAAGTGAACCAGTTTATTTCAAACTAATTGTCAACAACATTGCATCAAGCTTGTGAGAAGGGACAGGTTGAATTACGCATCCCCTGCTTATAAAAGCGCTCTCGCAAGCACGAAGCCGCGCAGTGTAGCACCATGGGTTAGAAGAAATAACCTATAGATGCAAGAAATTTTGGTATTCACGTGACCGTCCGTACCTCTATCCACCACCTAAATGTAGGCCAATGTAAAATTTCACAATTACTTCAAACACTATACTCAGGCATGGCAGGAGCCCATGAGTATAGAAAATGACAATAGCCTGTCAGTTATATACCCCATCCTGCTTAAAATGAATTGACAACTGTTAGAGCCGAGACTCTTTTTCGACTAAATTTTCCACTGACGTGGATAAAAGAGAAAAAGCTAGAGCAAGATATAAAAACAAAGGAGACGAATTTCGTTGGAAGAAAAACTTAAAAATTTTTAAAGTGGCGCTGAGAAAATGAGAAATGCTAGCGGCTACCGAGGTGAAAATTAGCAGCAGTGCAAAAAGGCGAACATTTGCCACATAAAACGTGTAACTAGGAAGTTTCACGTTGGAGTCGTACAAACAACGGCAAAGAAGTGTACAAAAAAGTGTGTGTGCTGAACGTACAAATTTGTTTTATGCTAATTTAGCTACAGTTGTTGGCTTCACACCAGAGCTTCAAGTATAGTGTAAGTGAACTTACTTTGCGTGTGAAGGTGACCATGGAAGCGTGCGTGGTTAAAAGAAGCCGAAGCTTGCCCTAAAGTGTGGTCTACTCCACACTTGAGAACACACTTGACCAATAAGAAATGGAAGCCACGTGTAGCAGTTCCAAGATTCTAATGAACGGAGAGATTCGTGGTCTTTGCACTAGGCAGTTAAGTAAGACTTGAAAGCTGCTATGTTTTACTTAACCAAAGAAACGTGTGTGAAGGCCTAAGTAAAATCTCAAGTTATTTTACTTTGCATCTTATTGAATTCGGAAAGTTGAAACGATTCAAGAAAAGTTCAAGTGACCTGAAAACCATCCTTAAAACCGATTTAGCGAACTTGCGGTTTCTTAAGCTTTGAAAGGCGAAGCATGTCAATCAATCTTAATTATGCTGCGTTGAAAATAGCCTTAAGTTAACCTGAGGAAAAAAAGGGACGGTTATGTGTGAAGCTTAATTTTACTTGAAGTATTTAAAATTTACTTGTCTCGAAATATTTCTCAGCTTATTTAGGCTCTAGTGTAAAGACCTGACATAGACAGCTTTTACTTCAAGTAATATACTTTGTCAACAAGTGTAAAGCCATGTTTTCAACAGAGGACCTCTACAGAGCGACTGAAGATTTTCAAGTGCACTTGAATCAAGAGCTTACTTGAAACCAACTTCGCTAATAGTGTGAAGCCAACAACAGTGCTTAACAGTGAAAGCCTGAAGTTAGTTTCAAGTAAGCACTTCAAGTGCACTTGGTAATCTTAAGTCGCTCTGTAGAAAACATGGCTTCACACTTGTTGACAAAGTATATTACTTGAAGTAGAAGCTGTCAATTATTGGCTTCACATTAGGGCTCTCGAGTATATTCTAAGTGTACCTGTAACCTACTTTGGGTATGAAGGGTTAAAATATACCTACTTCCACTTTACTCAGTGGTGATTACGGAAACGTTTGTAGTTCAAAAAGCCAAAGTTCGTCGCCAAGTACGGTCTACACCTTACCAAAAGAAATGGAAGACATGTGCACGATGTGCATGCGTGCAGCGGTTCCAAGATTGAGAAACATTCAACAGTGGATTCAATTGTCTTGGTTAGCTAAGAGCATTGGGGAAGAGACCAAGCCCAATCCCTAAAGCAATTTCTTCCCCAAAAAGCGTGTTGTTGAGCCATCTGCCGCTTCTAAGTACTCGTAAAAAGAGAAGCACAAAAGCTTATCTTCTACAGTTTAAACCCTTTG